TCCCAGAAGGAAGCCTCTTCTAAAGATGATGCACAAGAAAGCCCGCAAACAGTTTGCTGAAGACAAGCAGACTAAGGACATGGATTACTGGAACCATGTCCTGTGGTCTGATGAGACCAAGATAAAACTTATTTGGTTCAGATGGTGTCAAGCGTGTGTGACGGAAACCAGGTGAGGAGTACAAAGACAAGTGTGTCTTGCCTACAGTCAAGCATGGTGGTGGGAGTGTCATTGTCTGGGGCTGCATGAGTGCTGCCGGCACTGGGGAGCTACAGTTCATTGAGGGAACCATGAATGCCAACATGTACTGTGACATACTGAAGCAGAGGATGATCCTCTCCCTTCGGAGACTGGGACGCAGGGAAGTATTCCAACATGATAACAATCCCAAACACACCTCCAAGATGACCACTGCCTTGCTAAAGAAGCTGAGGGTAAAGGTGATGGATTGGCCAAGCATGTCTCCAGACCTAAACCCTATTGAGCATCTCAAGGTCTCTAACATCCACCAGCTCCGTGATGTCGTCATGGAGGAGTGGAAGAGGACTCCAGTGGCAACCTGTGAAGCTCTGGTGAACTCCATGCCCAAGAGGGTTAAGGCAGTGCTGGAAAATAATGGTGGCCACACATTATATAACATAATATTGACACTTTGGGCCCAATTTGGAAATTTTCACTTAGGGGTGTACTCACTTTTGTGGCCAGCGGTTTAGACATGTTGTCACATAAAAAGATATTAATATAATATTTACAAAAATGTGAGAGGTGTACTCACTTCTGTGAGATACTGTATGTATATATATATATTCAGACATTATTATAAACTATTTAAAATATTATTTATTATGGAAAACAACCAGTAGTTGTAGTAGTAATAATAATGATTTTAAATAATAATAATAATAATGATAATAATAATAATAATAATATATATATATATATATATATATATATATATATATATATATATCCTTTCAGATCCACCATTCCCATCTCCAGGAACATGCAGAGCACTACTGCCTGGAAAACAAACAGGGATTGACTATTAATTTATTATGACTGGAAACAAAAAATCCTGTGGGATTCGAACCTGCAACCTTTCTTTTACCAGTCCAGATTTTTACCCACTAAAAGTGCAGTTGATGAAACTGAATTTACAGCGTCCCACACAACCGCAGCGACACCCAATCGAGTCTGATCCTGTGATTGGCCAGATTAAATTCAGCTGAAGTCTGGTGAAGTAGATTCTCATCATAGGGCACCAAAGCCATCTTCAGCTGTTAAAATGCATGAAAAGACCACAAAATATTTTGTTGATTTACTTTCAATACATTAATCATAAAATAAAAGTGAATTATAGAATGTCATATCTGATAGCCTTTTTTATGTCATGCTATATGTAGTAGGCATGTACATACCTATTTGTAAATCCACCGAGTTAACAGTTCCTTATTCTGTAACGTTTTAAAATTATTTGCTTGCATAGCAAGAAAAATGAGAAAGCTTCAAGAAAAACCCCATACAGACTGTTAGTAAACAAGAGAGACTTCAGCGTCTGTCGTTCGTCTGTTTTTACTGCTGTCAGTCGTGACTCACCTGCGCCATCTGATGTTTAGGCGTGTAACTGCTAGTGGCGTTTGATCGTTCACGAAGGAACATTCCTAGATGAGCAACATCTTATTTTTCGTTTCACTATTAAATATACAAGAATGCAGTATTTATCACACACTAAATGTTTTTTTCTTCCTCTGAAGAGTTTTCACGACACACATATTATTACAGCAACTGTTCAAATGAATCGAATGTCTACACAAAACACAAAATCTAAGTTTTACACTGACTCTAAATACTAAAGTAATTTATTCTGAGAATTACTGTCAGGCGGACAGAATAGGGCTGATTAGAACTCATAGGCCTATAACAATAATTCAATATAAAATAAAATCATGAAAAAAACACTGACTGAAGCAAATGTGAGAAAGCGATTCGGCTCCATGATGCAGAAAGTAAAAAAAAAAACAAGCCTGACAAAAACACTGACTACAGCAACACAGATAGGTCATCAAAAATAAATGTGTCAAAGTCGCTTCCTTATGGCATGAGCTCAATAGCCTATGTGTAATAGCAAGAATCGGACCTTAAAATAAAGTGTGAATTCTTAGAAACAATTCTCTGAATTGCCTTTACACGGACTTTAAAATAAAGAAACTTTCAATAATAAATGATAATCAGATATAGGTTTTTATCTGAACACTTAAAAATGCGTATGTAGGGTATACATACTGTACATCATGCATTTGAAAAAGGGGTGGGGTTATTGACACAGCGGTTAATCAGAAAAATAAAAAATGGCACTTCATGTCCAAAAGGTTGCCAACCCCTGTCATAGACTCTAACATGTGACTTGTCAGAGGAACTGACATTAAGCCATTTGTAGCTGCATGAAGACTGGAGGAGATGTTCTCACGGTCAGAAAAGTTCATCCATTAGACTCAGTAGGCTATTTACAGTTTTAAGATACTGAAAGCATCAGATTTTTTTTTGTACATTAATGACACTTTCTGTTGTGGCTTTTCAGATCAGTGTTTTTATCTCCTACTGCTGAAAAATGTTTCACACATTCATATTCTTCTGTTTGTGGCATCTTGTTGGTAAGTTAAATGTGTTTTATGGCTTCATGTTTAGTTCATTGCTGTTTCATCTCATTGTCTTGGTGTGTTTTATACAGATGGAGTAAATATAGTGACAGTGACAGAGGGAGATTCTGTTACTCTACACACTGATGTCAAGATACCATACAAGCATTATAGACGTTATATGCGTCATATAGACTGGATGTTTGGACCTGAACGTAATCAGATAGCTAGAGTCATTCAGCATGATGAGGAGACATATATTAGATATTATGAGAATGAGATATTCGGAGACAGACTACAAATGGACAATCAAACTGGATCTCTGACCATCAGGCACATCAGAACAACATACTCTGGACTTTATCAAATGAGGAGTCCATTCAAAAGAGAATCATTCAATGTTACTGTCTATGGTGAGTACATGAATTTAATGTACTCCGGCAAGTCATGTTTTAACAATAAATTATTAATCTCTTATATATTTCATATGTTCAAAGTGTAACCCTGTTGAAATATGTTCTTTAGTATAACATATACAAGTTTGAATAAATAATTTCATAGTTTACTAAATAGAGTTTAAGGTTAAAAAAGTTCAGATTCATTGACCAGCAAAGAAGTTATGCTTTTGCTCAATGAGAGAAATGCCTATGGAGTAATGTTCATTTAAAATGTTAAATATTTGTTGGGTAATAATATATGTGGAAAATGCTTAAAATATGCCTGTGAGAATAGGAAGAAAGAGTTACACAAATGTATTTTATTTCTGAAAGTTTTGTGTATGAGCCAATGACAGGAAAGGTCAAAGTAAAGAAGAAGTGGAGGACGCGAGGAGGAATGAAGGCGAGTGAGTTTTTGTGGAAAGGAAAAGACGGTTACTGTTAATTTAATGCACCAGAAAATGAAAGTGTTCAATACGGACTCTTATACGAGACGTTAATGGTGATAGTTCTGTTTGTCTGAGTGATAAACTCATTACAGTTATGACAGATGTAAGTTTAAGTTAGCCGCTGATTTAGTGGCTAGTGTTTGCATGGACTTTGCTGACAAGCTAGCGGCCAGCGACCTTGATTAGTTAAGCCTGTGTGGAAATATCGATGTGAATCTTCTCTTCAACCGTTTTCTCTTCATCGCAAATCCTCCAGTCCTGTCTTCTGCGGCTGACGCCTTTGATCTGGTGCGCGTGAGGTTACATTCACATTGAGTAAAGGTACCACTTGTTTGTTTGGCCTGCGTGGTGAAGCAGCCATTGGGTTTAAGGCTACTACGTACCCAAGCTACATTCAGGCCTGCATCATTTGAACATTTGAAGGGTATATTTCACGTTAAGCTAGGTTTTTGCCGGTTATTTTATTTTCTTGGGCCCTTATGTGTTAAATGTGAATTTAAATGCATTTGTGACCTTTAATTTCCTGTTACAGTGTAAATATTACTGCTTAAATAGTGATTTAAAGAGGGAAAAGTATTTCCTTTAATAAGCTAGTAATTACACCCACACAAAGCAAACACAGATAAGTTATTAGAGAAACCTCACTTATTTGATTGGATAGATATTTAAAGAATTCAGGATAGCCACCTCTCATTATAGTTTAGAGAGGCGCTACATAAGGATATTAGCTGGCCACAGATACTGTTGATAGGACTTTAAATGTATTTTTCCCACAGTATTTCTATAGTATAAAGTAATTTATTTCACCTTACTCCCTCATGTTTTCCAGCTCATCTTCCCATCCCTGTCATCACCAGATAATCTACATGTTCTTCATCATCAGAGTCAAAATGTGACCTACTGTGTTCAGTGTTGAATGTGAGTCATGTGACTCTCTCCTGGTACAAAGGAAACATTTTATTGTCCCGCATCAGTGTGTCTGATCTCAGCATCAGTCTCTCTCTACCTCTGGAGGTGGAATATCAGGAGAAAAACACCTACAGCTGTGTGCTCAACAATTCATTCTCTGACCTGCCTGAACATCTGGACATTACTCAACTATGTCAAGGTACATCAGTGGTAACACTAATACTAATACTTCAGAAAATTATTAGTCATAATTTTGGTGCAGGTTCTGAATAAAACCTCTTTTTCTGTCCTTAGACTCTGTCCACTGTTGCGGTTTCAATGAAGCTGTGATTCGATTGGTCATCTCAGCTGTAGTGGGCGTGGCTACTGTTGCAATAGTGATTTATGACATCAGATCCAGAAAAGCTGAAAAGAAGTGGAGAACATCACAATCAGTCACTGAATAAAGAGCCATGGAACATTTGTTCTTTTTAATAGTCAGTTCTCGTAAAAAATTCATGGAAATCCATTGGTCATAAAGAAGTGTGAACCCTGCAGAAATGTAGGCTATATACTTTATTTTTTCATTTAAAGAATATAAAGAATATTTTGCTTTTTCAAAGACAATTGAAATCTAAATGTTTAATATTAAAAGACTAAGTAACACTTTAGTATAGGGACCAATTAATTAACTAGTTGCTTATTAACAAGCTTATCATTAACATATTGGCTGTTTTTTATTATTTTTATTGGCTATTTTTTATTATGACAAATATTAATAACTTCACTGTAACACACTGTACTTTCTCCAAATTCAGTTCACACATCAATGCTGTCCTGCTGGTTATACTACAACAGTTATTTTGACAATAATTGCTTTGAATGGTTTTTATTATAATTTCTTTTAAATATTAAATAAATTCACTGTTATTGGACAAAATAGTCAATAACTTCACTGTAACATACTGTACTTTCTCCAAATTCAGTTCACACATCACTGCTCTCCTGCTGGTTATACGACAACAGTTATTTTTAAAATTGCTTTTACATATTTTTTATGATTATTTAAAATTAAAAATAGTCATTACCTTCATTGTTATTGGACAAAATAGTCAATAACTTCACTGTAACATACTGTACTTTCTCCAAATTCAGTTCACACATCACTGCTCTCCTGCTGGTTATACGACAACAGTTATTTTTTAAATAATTGCTTTTACATATTGTTTATGATTATTTAAAATAAAAAATAATCATTACCTTCATTGTTATTGGACAAAATAGTCAATAACTTCACTGTAACACACTGTACTTTCTCCAAATTCAGTTCACACATCACTGCTCTCCTGCTGGTTATACGACAACAGTTATTTTTTAAATAATTGCTTTTACATATTGTTTATGATTATTTAAAATAAAAAATAGTCATTACCTTCATTGTTATTGGACAAAATAGTCAATAACTTCACTGTACCACACTGTACTTTAGCCAAATTCAGTTCCCACATCACTGCTCTCCTGCTGGTTATACGACAACAGTTATTTTTGAAAATAATTACTTTTACACAGTTTTTATGATTTCTTATTATGACAAATAGTTAATAACGTCACTGTAACACACTGTACTTTGCCTAAATTCAGTTCACACATCAATGCTCTCCTGCTGGTTTTACTACAACACTTATTTTGACAATAATTGCTTTTGAATGTTTTTTATGATTTTTTTAAATACTCAATAAATTCACTGTTATTGGACAAAATAGTCAATAACTTCACTGTAACACACTGTACTTTCTCCAAATTAATTCACACATCAATGCTCTCCTGCTGGTTAGACTACAACAGTTATTTTGAAAATAATTGCGTTTACATATTTTTTATGATTATTTAAAATGAAAAATAGTCATTACCTTCATTGTTATTGGACAAAATCGTCTTTGTGTTGTAGAATACCCAGCAGGAGAGCAGTGATGTGTGAACTGAATTTAGAGAAAGTACAATGTGTCACAGTGAAGTTATTGAAAACTGTCGCGTCCGGTCTAGACACGGTGCAATCCTACCCAATGACAGAAAGAAGAGTTCCATTTTAGACTTTCTCCATAATCTCTTACGGTTGAAAAAATGATTTGCATACTTATTTTCTTCTGTTTATGGCATCTGGTTGGTGAGTTAAACATGTT